GATGAATGGGGGGCCCAGGAGGCCGGAAAAATATGGTAACCATATCAACATCCCCGGCTGGTGCGAATTACGGCGGGTTCGCGTCGCGAAGACGTCGGCGCTGGTGTTTGACGCCGCGTGGATCGTTCAACCTCGAACGACCGCGGCCCGGCTCCCCGACAGCGCGGCTCGTTTGATGTCGGCCGATTGCAAGCCACTGGAGTTTTTTGTAGTATATATGTATATACGAAGAAACATTTCCGCGGAGCGGTCTTTGCCCCGGGTTGGTGGTGGGTGGGGGGGTGGGGCCATGGGGAACAACAACGATTGGGCGGGGTGGTGCACATTGTGGCGGGGGTGCGCTGCGATCGCCGCAGCATGCGAGCAAGCACGGGCATGCGGGGAGTACAGCCCCCCCCCCTCTGCGTACGATCGTTACCGGTACTGGGGGGGGTTCGGCCCGGGCAACGACAGTTACGCGCCTGACGGATAAAACAAAACAGTCTAGTGGCAATCTTGGGCGCCCGCGCTGGAGTCGCCGCCGCGTCGACGAGGGAGGAGGGAGGGGGATGAAAGACGAGGGACCAGTGTAATCTAAAACGCATCAGCGATGTATCAATAAAGCCTCGCTCCAAGCTCCCTCTTCATAGGTTCCTGCAGGAATTCCCACCAGCCCTCTGGGCGTCGGTGGTTTAGAGCGTTTCCTCTTCCACCCCTCCTTCTTCCCCTTCGGGGAGGGGTTTACCCCTCCCCCTACCCCCTCCCCACTGACCTGGACAGGGGGTTCCGCGGCGCGCTGGAGCGCCCAAGATCGACCCCTGGGAGGGCTAAAATTCGACACCCCTCACGAGGATCGTGGCTCCTGAGGGGGGGACTGTAATTAGGGAACCCCCCTTCGTTGATCGATCTCCTCCAAGATGGCTCCGAGGCCCCCCAAGAGGCCCCCAGGAGGCCCCCAAGAGACCCCCAAGAGGCCCCAAGAGACCCCCCAGAGGCACCCAAGAAGCGCCCAGGAGGCCCCAAGAAGCGCCCAGGAGGCCCCCAAAGGCCCCAAGATGGCCCCAAGAGGCCCCAAGAGGCCCCCAGGAGGCCCCAAAGAGGATCCCGAACGGCCCACAGAGGCCCCCCCGAGGCACCCAAGACGCCGAAAAGCCCCTCAGGACGACCCTCTACTCGCCTGGGCGTCGTTTCTGGACGGGCTGGTGGGGATACGCGAAGCGTCTAGATTAACCTGCAGTGCGGAAATTGGAAGACAACTGCCTGACAATCCGCAGTCGTGCCAAAGCACAGGTCCTGGGTTTCCAACGCCGTGGATCAACGTGACTGTTGTGCCCCGACAGTGCTAAGTCGTGCCAGAACACCATTCCTAGGACTTCAACACCGCTAATCAACGTGACTGTTGCGCCGTGACACCCCAAATTCGTGCCAGAGCACCTTCCCTGGGATTTCGACCATACGAATCCTTGAAGTTCTTGCAAGCCTTAAAACAAACATGCTCGGTGCTGAGGCGAGGCTGTGCGCGACTCTGAAGCGAGAGCCACATTTTGAAAACGGCCAGCCCAACATCCTTGAAACTGTTGCACACTTGCAGAAAAACGGCTGTGCGCTGCTCTGAGACGAGAGCCACATTTCGAAAACGACCCGCTCTTAATCAGTGAAGCTGTTGCGCACTTGCAAACACGGCGGTGCGCGGCGCTGAGGCGAGAGCATATTGTCAAAACGGCTGTGCGCGGCGCTGAAGCGAAAACCGCATTTTGAAAACGACCCGCCCTCCATCCTTGAAGCTGATGCACACTTTCACAACGACTGTGTACGGCTCTGAAGCAAATTCCACATTTTGAAAGCGGCCTGCCCTCCATCAATAAAACTGTTACACACTTGTAAACAATGGCTGTGCGCGGCGCTGCGGCGAGAACCACACTTTGAAAACGACCAGACCTCCATCCATGAAACTGTTGCGGACATTCAAAACGGCTGTGCGCGGCGCTGAAGCGAGAGTCACATTTTGACAACGACCCGCCCTCCATCCGTGAACCTGTTGCAGCTTTCAAGCCTCGGGGTCAGCAACGGCGAGGAAATGTCAGGCGAGACGCCTGGCCCGCTCTATGGACACGTCCGGGGGTGCGACAGGGAGGAATTACTTACGAGGAGAAGGAATGGAGGGAGGAGGGATGGAAGAGCAACTGTTCAACTTCCCCGAGCAGTTCCTGCTGTCGACGGACCCCTCAGGGCAGTTTGCCTGGCGAGAGCCCCAATTCGGCCGCTGTTTTTTTCGTCGCGACGCGAGGGGGTTTAAGCCAGGAGGTAGTAATTGTGAGGAGGCGCGCGGCTCAGGGGCGCCGACGAAGGGGGGTGGCTGGGATTCAGAAGCGGGGGGGTCCGCATCATGGCTCGAGGCACGTGCGCGGACGAGTGGGTGCAAGAGGAAGTCCCGAAAGAGAAAGCGGGAGCCAAGAAAGATGCGTGGATCAGACCCTGCTTCTGAGCGTTCGCGGGAACGCCCGTGACAGGCCCTGCCCCCCCTCTCCACCCCTCCCTGGCCACGTCACCGTTCGCTCCGGCGCGAATCGCGGAGTGACTGGCCCCGCCCCCCCTCCCTTCCCCCGGAGGAGGAGGAGGAGGAGGAGGAGGGAGGAGGAGGAGGGAGGAGGAGGAGGACGAGGAGGAGGAGGAGGAGGAGAGGAGGAGGAGGAGGAGGAGGAGGAGGAGGAGGAGGAGGAGGAGGAGGAGGAGGAGGAGGAGGAGGAGGAGGAGGAGGAGGGGGAGGATCACGCCGGTTATCAAGGGCGCCAAACTTCGCGCCTCGCGCTGCGGGAGGCGCGCACAACTTCGCGCTCTCGCGCCGCCGGCCCCCCAGGGGAGACAAGGAGGATGAGGAGGAACCAGAGCAAAACCGCCGAGCGCGCGTCACTGCGCGCCCTCGAGGGCGCCCTTGGTTATCGCCATGGGATTGAGAACGCTGTCCCTATCCCGGACGCGGCCGTGATGTCTGCACACGCCCCAGTCCTCCCTCGACTCTGATGTTAGATCGGGCATGCCCTCCTACAGGCGGTTTTGAAAGAAAAGTAGAATATAGTCAAAACGTGCTCAAAACTAATCAAGAATAGTCGAACAATCGTCCCCAGACTATTTTGTTGACAAGTTTGAACATCTTCCCTGCAGGGGGACATGCCCGACTCAACCCTATCCTGGACGCGGCTGTGATGTCTGCACTCCCCACCAATCCTCACCCTACCATGGTGGTTTTCAGGTCACGCCGGGCGGCCGCCCGCCGGCCGCTTGGGACGGCAAAAGGCCCCCCCCCCCCCCCGAAGACTCTCTCTTGACGAGGCGCAGCTGCGGGAGCACGCCCCGTGGCGAGAACACCTCCGAGGGCCGACGAAAACTTCCCCCCCCCTCCCCTTCGACGACGGAAGCGCTTCACCCCGTGCTATCGAGGAGCAGGAGATAGCACAAACACATCAGCTGCCAGAAGCCTGCGCGGATGTGTCGGCTCGGCGCGGACCTCCCAGAACCTATGTTTATGCCATACTCTGTTCCTCGACTCCAGTCCTCCAGGAGCGGCCCTGTGCAGGCGTGACCTTTGGCGCGCGGCCTGGGGGGGGGCGCCGGAAGGCCAGACCCGAGCGCGCAAGCCGCTGCCATCGTGCCCCTTTCGACCAACCTGGGGGCCCCGGCGCGCCCACACCAAAAGGTCACTTTGGCGACCCGGACCCCCGACGTCATGATTTTTTTCACAACATCGACCCCATGAGGTCTCGACCCACTCCCCAGGACCCGTTTTTCCCAACCATCCTGTGGTGTTGGGTCCTCGTTTTGAAGAGACAGCGCCCCGCGTCTCCTTCCTTTTTTCCTTCTTTCTTCCTTCCTCCTCCCCCCTCCTCCCCACCCCCCCCCTCCTCCTGCCCGCATGCGGTTCCTCCACCCAGGGCTCGTCATGAGTTTTTTTCACAACGTCGACCCCATGAGGTTTCGACCCACTCCCCAGGACCCGTTTTTCCCAACCATCCTGTGGTGTTGGGTCCTCGTTTTGAAGAGACAGCGCCCCGCGTCTCCTTCCTTCCTTCCTTCCTTCCTTCCTCCTCCCCCCTCCTCCCCACCCCCCCCTCCTCCTGCCCGCATGCGGTTCCTCCACCCAGGGCTCGTCATGAGTTTTTTTCACAACGTCGACCCCATGAGGTCTCGACCCACTCCCCAGGACTCGTTTTTCCCAACCATCCTGTGGTGTTGGGTCCTCGTTTTGAAGAGACAGCGCCCCGCGTCTCCTTCCTTCCTTCCTTCCTTCCTCCTCCCCCCTCCTCCCCACCCCCCCTTCCTCCTGCCCGCATGCGGTTCCTCCACCCAGGGCACGTCATGTTTTTTTTCACAACGTCGACCCCATGAGGTCTCGACCCGCTCCCCAGGACCCGTTTTTCCCAACCATCCTGCGGTGTTGGGTCCTCGTTTTGAAGAGACAGCGCCCCGCGTCTCCTTCCTTCCTTCCTTCCTTCCTTCCTTCCTCCTCCCCCCTCCTCCCCACCCCCCCCTCCTCCTGCCCGCATGCGGTTCCTCCACCCAGGGCGCGTCATGAGTTTTTTTCACAACGTCGACCCCATGAGGTCTCGACCCACTCCCCAGGACCCGTTTTTCCCAACCATCCTGCGGTGTTGGGTCCTCGTTTTGAAGAGACAGCGCCCCGCGTCTCCTTCCCTTCCTTCCTTCCTTCCTTCCTTCCTTCCTTCCTTCCTTCCTTCCTTCCTTCCTTCCTTCCTCCTCCCCCCTCCTCCCCCCACCCCCCCCTCCTGCCCGCATGCGGTTCCTCCACCCAGGGCACGTCATGTTTTTTTCACAACGTCGACCCCATGAGGTCTCGACCCGCTCCCCAGGACCCGTTTTGCATCCCGAGTCGTTTCTTTTTGACGGCCCCGAGGCCCCGTCAAGGCCCCGGCAGGCCGAAAATCGCGAAAAACCTCCGTCGTGATTCTTTCTCACAGCTCGAGGGGGCCGGGGATTTTCGACGAAAAATAAAAAATACCCCAAGAATAATCCCAAAATGCCCCCAAAATAATCTGGGAACTATTTTTGGGGTATTTTTGACCTTTTTGGGGCATTTCTGTGGGGGAAGGTCCTTCTTTTTCGCGCAGCCGCTTCGCCCTCCTTTTTTGGGCGACCCCGGGCGACCACGGAGTAGTTGCTGCGGGAGCCCGCCGCGTCCCGCAGCCGGTCGCCCCTCAGCCGCGCGACCTGCGCGCGGAGCGCCTGGCTCTCCTCCCGGAGGGCGGCGACGTCGGCCTCGCGCGGGGGGGCCCTCCCCAAGGTACCTGCGCTCGCGGCTGCTCGCGGCGCGGCAGAGCCGCGGCGGCAGGTTCGGTTTCGGCCTCGCGTGGGACGCACGAGGGGTATCGCCAGGGGATGCAAAGCTGCCTCGAGTCGGCTCTCACGCGCCCACGGAGGGCTGCGGCGGTCGGCCTCGTGCTGGTCGACGAGGCGGGCGGCGAGCAGGCGGAACTCCGTCGTGCTCTCCGGCATGCGGGCTGACGCCCCGGCGGCGCGCGGGGCGGCGCTGGTTCCCAGAGATCCGACGTCGTGATTTTTTCAATGCGCGGTCCCCCGAAGTCTCGACCCATTCCCCAGGACCGGTTTCTCATCCTGAGTCGTTTTTTGACGGTCCCGGGGCCGGGCGAGGGCCCCCAGAGGCCGAAAATCGAGGAAAACCTTTGTCTTGATTTTTTCAAAGCGTTGGAGGTCTGGGTCTGGCGGCGCTCACAAGGGGGCCGGGGCTGGCCACGAAGCCAAGCGAGCGGGCCCTCGGGGAGATGGGCCCCGGAGGCTCTGCACCGCCCTCGGGCTCGGGGTGCCCTCGCCGGGCCCCGTGCGGACTGCAGTGGGGGCCCGACCACGAGAACCCCCCCCCCCACCGGAGACGCAACCCTGAGCCCCCAGGACATCCACGGATTTTCGGTGTGGGAGCGTCACGCCTTCCAACTTCGCGCTTCGCGCTGCGCGAAGCGCGAAGCGCGAATAACTTCGCGCTCTCGCGCCGCCCTCCCAAAGGGAGAATAGGAGGACGAGGAGGAGGGGGAGAAGGAACGAGGACCGCGAAGCGCGAATAACTTCGCGCCCTCGAGGGAGCCCTTGTTCCACAGCAAGAGCATCGAAACCCGAGAAGCCCAGGGCACCCTGGAGGCCAGCAGGGTGTTTCTTGGCATGGGTCCCCACTGTAGAGCAGCTCAGCACACAGAACCGAGGGCCCCAGGGGCGAGCGCACCGTGGTCCAGGGCCCGCTTCCCTGAGGACCTGCGTTCCCCTCTATGCTTAGGTCGGGCGTGTCCCCCTACAGGCGGATGTGGGAGGAAAACAACATGCGCGACAATTGTCAAATACAAATGCTCAACAAATCGTCCCCAGACTACTGTTTGACCACTTTTGAATATTCCTCCTGTAGAGGGACATACCCGACTCAACTCCGTGCCCGGGGGGCGGGCGCAGCCCTCGGGGCGGCTCGCTGTTCTGTAGTTCCTTCGGAAGGCGGCTCGAACACATCGCGCCGTAGGTGTTGTTGTGCTCGCTTTCTTCAGCGTCTGGGGGCCGCTGCCAGGCCCTGGGGCTGCCCGAAAACGGGATGCAGAAAGGTGCCCCAGGAATGGGGTCAAGAGTCCCAGGGTTAGGTCGGGCATGTCCTCCTGCAGGCGAATTTTGGACGAAGAATTCCCAACCATCCTGTGGTGTTGGTTCCTCGTTTTGCAGTGACAGCGCCCCGCGTTCCTTCCTTCCTTCCTTCCTTCCTTCCTTCTTTCCTTCCTTCCTCCTCCCCCCTCCCTCCCCCCCTCCTCCGTGGCCCCATAGGGAGCTCCACCGTAGGCCCCAGTGGGGGTGCCCGCATGCGGTTCCCCCACCCAGGGCAGCGTTTCGTAACCCCATAGGGAGCTCCACCGCAGGCCCCAGTGGGGGTGCCCGCATGCGTTTCCCACACCCAGGGCAGCGTTTCGTGGCCCCATTGGGAGCTCCACCGCAGGCCCCAGTGGGGATGCCCGCATGCGGTTCCCCCACCCAGGGCAGCGTTTTGTAGCCCCATAGGGAGCTCCACCGAAGGCCCCAGTGGGGGTGCCCGCATGCGGTTCCCCCACCCAGGGCAGCGTTTCGTGGCCCCACAGGGAGCTCCACCGAAGGCCCCAGTGGGGGTGCCCGCATGCGGTTCCACACCCAGGGCAACGTTTCGTGGCCCCATTGGGAGCTCCACCGCAGGCCCCAGTGGGGATGCCCGCATGCGGTTCCCCCACCCAGGGCAGCGTTTCGTAGCCCCATACGGAGCTCCACCGAAGGCCCCAGTGGGGGTGCCCGCATGCGGTTCCCCAACCCAGGGCAGCGTTTCGTAGCCCCACAGGGAGCTCCACCGAAGGCCCCAGTGGGGGTGCCCGCATGCGGTTCCACCACCCAGGGCAACGTTTCGTGGCCCCATAGGGAGCTCCACCGCAGGCCCCAGTGGGGATGCCCGCGTGCGGTTTCCCCACCCAGGGCAGCGTTTCGTAGCCCCATAGGGAGCTCCACCGAAGGCCCCAGTGGGGGTGGCCGCGTGCGGTTCCCCCACCCAGGGCAGCGTTTCGTAGCCCCATAGGGAGCTCCACCGAGGGCCACAGTGGGGGTGCCCGCGTGCGGTTCCCCCCACCCAGGGCAGCGTTTCGTGGCCCCATAGGGAGCTCCACCGTAGGCCCCAGTGGGGGTGCCCGCATGCGGTTCCCCCACCCAGGGCAGCGTTTCGTAGCCCCATAGGGAGCTGCACCGAAGGCCCCAGTGGGGGTGCTCGCCTACCCAGGACAGAGTTTCGTGGCCCCATAGGGAGTTCCACCGAAGGCCTCGATCGGGGTGCTCGCATGCGGTTCCCCCACCCAGGACAACGTTTCGTGGGCCCATACGGAGCTCCACCGAAGGGCCCAGTGACGGTGTCCACATGCGTCTCCCCCACCCAGGGCAGCGTTTCGTGGCCCCATAGAGAGCTCCACCGAAGGTCGCAGTGGAGGTGTCCACATGCGCCCCCCACCGAACACAGCGATTCGTGGCCTCATAGGGAGCTCCACCTAAGGCCCCAGTGGCGGTGTCCACATGCGTCTCCCCCACCCAGCACAGCGTTTCGTGGCCCCATAGGGAGCTCCACCGAAGAAGATATTCACAATTGCGGTACCCACAACTTCATATGGTTGGGTCCTTCACCAGGATAATAAAACAAATGCTAGAAATACCCTCCAGTAGTCAAAAATAATCGAAAACTCGTCCCCAGACTTTTGTTTAATCAGCAATCGATCCCACTATCGATCCCACAGGAGATCTCACTATCGACTCCTCCATCGATCTCACGATCGATCTCAACCAATGTCACAATCAATCTCGCAGTCGATCCAACTGTTGATCTCACTATCCATCCCATTCTAGCGACCTCATTATCGATCTCTATCGACGGCAATATCAAGGCGGGACACCCCCTGCCACCGCCCGCCCACCGCCGACGGAACACCGACGGGACACCAACGGGACACCACAGGACACCATGTCGGGACACCCCTGGCCACCAAGCGCCCACCTGGGGCGGAGGGGCGGTCCACTGCATGCGAATCGTCCTAGCGACGGCGAGGTCAGTCCCCTCGTGTGCCCACGCAGCTTCGCCTCGCCCGCACGCGCGACACGAACACGAAACCGAAACCGATTTCCCGGGGGGGGGCTCTCCGTTGCACTAAGATCTCACGCCCCAAACTCCTATTCTACAAATTTTTGGCAAGCGTGGACCCCAAACAATAAGTTACTGCACCGTGGATGTGTAAGCAATGTGATGCAATCGGTCTACATGTAAGCTGTGCAGTGTAAGCTATGTGTTGCAACCTGGACGGACCCCACAAACGCGGTGGGCGGCAACGAGGCGGCAACGGGCGGCGACGCGGCGAAACCTCGACGGACCTCCGCAAGTGGGCGGCAACGGGCGGCGACGTGGGGACATCTCAACAGACGCGTCCAAGTCCTTGGTAACAGAATAGCCCTAAATGCAAGCTCTGGTTTGGGAAACAGCTCCCTACCGTCTTGGAAAGCCGCCCCCTCGCCCCGCCTCCTTGTGCCCGCCGCCAGGCTGGGGGTGGGAAAGGCCGTTGCCAGTCGCAGTGATCCCGCATCTTGGACCGAAATGTGGAGTAGGAGGAGCATAGGAGTTAAGCTGAGCTGAACCTTATGGGATCCCTGTCTAGGCAGTCGAAATGACTACCAGAAGCCACTAGAATGTACTCTAAGAAACTCAATCGAAACCCAGCGTTTTTCAATGCAAGCCCTACTACGGCTCACAACTCAAACTGCACTGGCTTGGCTGGAGAGGAGGACGAAGACAACGGCGGCAAAAAGAATGATGAGGAGGCCTAGCGCGATCCGCTGCCTCAGAGGGGGGCCCCACTCAAAGGCGCAATGGCACTCATGCCCCCAATGCTGCGTGCTCGCAAAACAAAAACGAACCTGGACACTGAACGACCCGCTCTTCACGAACTTCGGGCTGTCTCCTCCCCCCCCACGTCCTTGTCCTCGTCCTTCCTCCTCCTCCTGTTCCTCCTCCTCATCATCATCGTCATCCTCATCCTCATCACCATCAGCATCATCCTTCTCCTCCTCCTCCTCCTCTTCCTCCTCCTCCTCCTCATCATCATCACTATCATCACCATCACCATCACTATCAGCATCACCATTCTAAACCAACATCATCACCATCTTATCATCACCACTACCACCATCAGCATCACCATCGTCATCATCGTCATCAGCGCCATTATCATCACCACCACCATCATCATCATTATCATCGCAAGTGTCATCACCGTCATCATCTTCATCATCACCATCGTCACCGCAATCATCATCATCTTCTTCATCACCTTCTTCATCACCATCAGTATCAACGCCACCATCATCAACATTATCAGTACCATCACCATTGTCACTTCTATCATCTTCATCTTCATCACCATCATCACCCGCGCCACCATCAACGCCACCACCATCATCACCATCATCATCATCATCATCATCATCATCATCATCAACACCACCACCACCATCATCAGCATCATCGTCACTATCATCATCGCCATCATCATCATCATCATCATCATCATCATCATCATCAGCACAATCACCATCACCATCACCATCACCAGCACCACCACCACCATCATCATCACCATCACTATCACCATCACCATCACCATTACCATCACCATCACCAGCATCAGCATCAGCATCAGCATCAGCATCATCATCACCGTCATCGTCATCATCATCATCATCATCATCATCATCATCATCATCATCATCATCATCATCATCCCCTCCCCCTCCCCCTTCTCTTCCTCCACCTCATCCTTCCCCCCCTCCTCTTTCACCACGTTTAAGAACAGGAGCTACGACCCCAATGGGACGCCTTTGCTTCGACTGGGGGAGGCCCACTCCAGCAACATCCGCTCCACCCATGAGCCCCGTCCAAAGCTAAAGTCAAAGCTCAAGCGCGGGGTGGAACATACCCGTCTACACTGTTTCGTGTGCTCGAGCCGCCGAACACAAGTACTGAATCAACGCGCGAGGAGAGAGGCGAAGGAGGGATGGAGGGGTGGTGGGAAGAGGAGGGTGGAGAGACGGAGGGGGGCAGGGGAGAGAGGCCCCGCGGAGCCCAGAACCTTCCCCCTCGGGACACCGGCCTGTCCTACGGGGTACCCGTTTCTGACGCCCCCTGGGCCTCAGAGACACAGCCCTCGCAGGCAGCAGGATGAATTTCGAGTTGCATCTTCAGGGATCTTGTTTGTCCCGTCGCGCCGGGAACCGAGTCGACACCGTGTCCAATCCATGTCGAACGCATCGACCCCGCGTCGAATCCACACCGAATCCGCGTCGTATCCATGCCGATTGCACGGCGGATCCGCGTCGACCGCGCGTCGGATACCAGAAAAGACCGCAATCTACAGGGCGGACGAGGCTCCCAGAATATGCAACGTAGGACGTGAGGGAGACTCGCGGGGCTCATGATGTTCATGGCAGTTGGGGGAGCATGGCCAGCATCCAGGAGATTTGCAGCAGGATATTCGCAGTCCGACCAGTTGAGGATCCGATGCGTCGGTGCTACACCTGTGAATCCAATCATGATTCAGCTTCGCCCGCCCATGCCCACTCTAATCATCTGAGTTTTGAGGCACAGGTTCAGTCAGCAAATGAATACTGTTGTTGGTTCAGGGGGCTCATCCCTGCATCCTGGACCCAGGTAGACCCCCCCTGTGCAGGAAGAAGTGTGATCGACCCATCCAGACGCGACGGAGATCGGTCCAACTTCTTTGGGAGTACACGTCGTTCATTTCTAATCGTGCTCATTTCTAATTGTGCTCGTTTCTAATTGTTCCTGGCCCCCTAGTGGCCAGGGAGAGGCCAAGGATAGAACACTTAGAAATGAAAGGATCTGGGCCCCTAAAATTATCCCGGCAAAGCAACCTAACAGCGACGTGTATAAGCATATCTGGAAGCATTCCCCTTAAGATTCAGGTGAGAATCCAGTTGTAGAATTCTGCTGTTCTCGCAGTCGCAGTCGCATTCGCAATGACAGTCGCAGTGGCAACGGCCTTAGGATCCAATGGAATCCTAAGGATTCCTAGGGATTCCAAAGGCATCCTTAGGCATCCTTAGGAATACATAGGAATCCTTAGGAAACCTTAGGAATCCTTAGGAATACTGATTCCTAGGGATTCCTAGGGATTCCTAAGGATTCCTGAGGAATCCTAAGGGATTCCTGAGAATGCTTAACTTTGCCTACGGATTCCTAAGGATTCCTAGGGATTCCTAAGGATTCCTAAGGATTCCTATGGATTCCTACGGATGCCTCAACCTGCCTCGGCCTCAGCCTCAGCCTGCCTCAGCCTCAGCCTCAGCCTGCCTCGGCCTCAGCCTGCGTCAGCCTCAGCCTCAGCCTGCCTCAGCCTCAGCCTGCCTCAGCCTCAGCCTCAGCCTCAGCCTGCCTCGGCTTGCCTCAGCCTCAGCCTCAGCCTGCCTCGGCCTCAGCCTGCCTCGGCCTCAGCCTGCCTCCTCCCCCCCTTCCCCCCCCCCATTCAGCCTCACCTTGTCTCAGCTTCGGCCTGCCTCGGCCTCATCCTCAGCCTCAGTCTCAGCCTCAGCCTGTCTCGGCCTGAGCCTGCCTCGGCCTCAGCCTCAGCCTGCCTCAGCCTCAGCCTGCCTCAGCCTCAGCCTCAGCCCTCAGCCTGTCTCAGCCTCAGCCTCAGCATCAGCCTCAGCCTCAGCCTCAGCCTGCCTCCTTGCCTCGGCCTCAGCCTCAGCCTGCCTCAGCCTCAGCCCTCAGCCTCAGCCTCAGCCTGCCTCAGCCTGCCTCAGCCTGCCTCAGCTCGGGCATTCAAAATATGGCACAGGACTGGTGTTCTGGGAACACGAAGATCACGAAGTGGCCCACAGTTGGCTCCGGGCAATCAAAATATGGTACAAGAGTGGTGTTCTGGGAACACGAAAAACACGTAGTGGCCTACAGTTGGCTCCGGGCATTCAACATGTGGCCTGGGAATTGTGTTCTGGGAACACGAACAACACGAAGTGGTCTACAGTTGGCTCCGGGCATTCAAAATGTGGCCTGGGAATGGTGGTCTAGGAAAACGAAGAACACGAATTGGCCTACAGTTGGCTCCGGGCATTCAAAATGTGGCCTGGGAATGGTGTTCTGGGAGCACGAAGAACACGAAGTGGCCTACAGTTGGCTCCGGGCATTCAAAATGTGGCCTGGGAGTGGTGTTCTGGTGGCTCGGGGCAATCAAAATGTGGCTCCTGGCAATGAAAATGGGGAGTCCCTGGTTTTCCGCGGCACCCGTCCGGCATCTGCCCAGACCCCCCTGGGGAATCAGGATGCTCTCTTTTGACCCCACTAGAAACCTATCAGTCTTCGCTGTTAGGTAAAAATTATCCCGGCAAAGCAACCTAACAGCGATGTGTGGGAGCATACCTGGAAGCATTCCCCTTAAGATTCAGATGAGGATCCTGTTGTAGAATTCTGCTGTTCTCGCAGTCGTAGTCGCATTCGCGATGGCAGTCGCAGTGACAACGGAAGTCGCAGTCACAGCCTCAGCCTCAGCCTGCCTCAGCCTCAGCCTCAGCCAGCCTCAGCCTCAACATAAGTCTGCCTTCAGCCTCGGCCTCAGCCTCAGCCTGCCTCAGCCTCAGCCTCAGCCTCAGCCTGCCTCAGCATCAGCCTCAGCCTGCCTCAGCCTCAGCCTCAGCCTGCCTCAGCCTCAGCCTCAGCCTTCAGCCTCAGCCTCAGCCTCAGCAGCCTGCCTCAGCCTGCCTCAGCATCAGCCTGCCTCAGCCTCAGCCTCAGCCTGCCTCAGCCTCAGCCTCAGCCTGCTTCAGCCTCAGCCTCAGTCTGCCTTCAGCCTCGGCCTCAGCCTCAGCCTGCCTCAGCCTCAGCCTGCATCAGCCTCAGCCTCAGCCTCAGCCTGCCTCAGCATCAGCCTGCCTCAGCCTCAGCCTCAGCCTGCCTCAGCCTCAGCCTCAGCCTGCTTCAGCCTCAGCCTCAGTCTGCCTTCAGCCTCGGCCTCAGCCTCCGCCTGCCTCAGCCTCAGCCTGCATGAGCCTCAGCCTCAGCCTCAGCCTGCCTCAGCCTCAGCCTGCCTCAGCCTCAGCCTCAGCCTGCCTCTGCCTCAGCCTCAGCCTGCTTCAGCCTCAGCCTCAGTCTGCCTCAGCCTCGGCCTCAGCCTCAGCCTGCCTCAGCCTCAGCCTGCATCAGCCTCAGCCTCAGCCTCAGCCTGCCTCAGCATCAGCCTGCCTCAGCCTCAGCCTCAGCCTGCCTCAGCCTGCCTCAGCCTCAGCCTGCTTCAGCCTCAGCCTCAGTCTGCCTTCAGCCTCGGCCTCAGCCTCAGCCTGCCTCAGCCTCAGCCTGCATCAGCCTCAGCCTCAGCCTCAGCCTGCCTCAGCATCAGCCTGCCTCAGCCTCAGCCTCAGCCTGCCTCAGCCTCAGCCTCAGCCTGCTTCAGCCTCAGCCTCAGTCTGCCTTCAGCCTCGGCCTCAGCCTCAGCCTGCCTCAGTCTCAGCCTGCTTTCAGCCTCAGCATCAGCCTGCCTCAGCATTCAAAATGTGGCCCGGGAATGGAGTTCTGGGAACTCGAAGAAAACGAAGTGGCCTACAGTTGGCTCTGGGCATTCAGAATGCGGCCCGGGAATGGAGTTCTGGGACCTCCAAGACCACGAAGTGGCCTACTTTTGGCTCCGGGCATTCAAAATGTGGCCCAGGAATGGAGTTCTGGGAACTCGAAGAGCACGAAGTGGCCTACAGTTGGCTCCGGGCATTCAAATGTGGCCCGGGAATGGAGTTCTGGGAACTCGAAGAGCACGAAGTGGCCTACAGTTGGCTCCGGGCATTCAGAATGTGGCCGGGGAATGGAGTTCTGGGACCTCCAAGACCACGAAGTGTGTGACTGTTTGCTTAAAACGAGCCCGGCCCTGAGCCCGGCCCTCGCTGTCCGGATGCCGCCCAGACCTCCCTTCTGAGTCATCAGATGCTCTCTTTTGACACCACTAGAAACCTATCAGTCTTCGCTGTTGGGTAATCAAAGAACCTTCGAATAGTTAGACATGAACAAGTGTGTGGGCACACGAGACAACCCAGTGATTTTGTACGGGGGCGCTTCAGGCAGACCCGACGCCCTCGCCGCGTCGGGGTTGCGGCTGCTGATTCCTCGAAATGGAAATCTAATGAAGAGATCAAACTCTCTTTTTGGGCCACTCCGTTGGGCTCAACACACGGTTGCCAGAGGAGAGCTTTACACTCTGCTCGTCGCTATCAGGCCCACTCTCGGTCCGCTTGTTCTCGGTGACGATAATGATGATGTCTGTGCTGGTTGGTGGGATCGATTTTGCGGCATCCCGTGAGGAGTCAGCACAGACCGATGGCGTCAGATTAGCAAGGATCTGACAGCCAAGGATAAGGACCCTGGCGAGATAGTTGTTTTGAAAGCTCCTTCTCACCTGGAAACTCCTGATGCCATTACCCAGGACATTCCCAGGTTGATGATTGAAGGTAACATCTTGGCCGACGCGCTCGCTGATGAGGCTGCATAGGCCGCCCGGATGACAGAATGCCAACGCCATCGAGTCCATAACATGGGAGGCTGACGCCTATAGAATCTGCCATCTTCTTTTCAGGGCGACCTTAGAGGTTGCCGAATTGGAGTGCCCTGGAGGTTCAATAAGAACGGACCCCTGCTGCTCACGCTCGTGCTTCTCGCATCCCCCCTCCTGCCCCCGCCGCGGTGGCCCTTTGTAACCCCTCCCGCTCCATAAGCGATTGTGGGAAGCGGTGTTTGGTTTGCCAGGGGTCCACGACTGCGGCAACATTTGTTTTGTTAAAAAATATCCCGGCAAAGCAACCTAACAGCGATGTGTAGGAGCATATCTGGAAGCATTCCCCTTAAGATTCAGATGAGGATCCTGTTGTAGAATTCTGCTGTTCTCGCAGTCGTAGTCGCATTCGCGATTCAGTCGCAGTGGCAGTCGCAGTGGCAACGGCAGTCACAGTCAGCCTCAGCCTCAGCCTCAGCCTCAGCCTCAGCCTCAGCCTCAGCCTCAGCCTGCCTCAGCCTCAGCCTCAGCCTGCCTCAGCCTCAGCCTGCCTCAGCCTCAGCCTCCTGCAGCCTCAGCCTCAGTCTGCCTTCAGCCTCGGCCTCAGCCTCAGCCTGCCTCAGCCTCAGCCTGCAGCCTCAGCCTCAGCCTCAGCCTCAGCCTGCCTCAGCATCAGCCTGCCTCAGCCTCAGCCTCAGCCTGCCTCAGCCTCAGCCTCAGCCTGCTCAGCCTCAGCCTCAGCCTCACCTCAGCCTCAGCCTCAGGCCTCAGCCTCAGCCTCAGCCTCAGCCTCAGCCTCAGCCTGCTCAGCCTCAGCCTCAGCCTGCCTCAGCCTCAGCCTGCTTCAGCCTCAGCCTCAGTCTGCCTTCAGCCTCGGCCTCAGCCTCAGCCTGCCTCAGCCTCAGCCTGCATCAGCCTCAGCCTCAGCCTCAGCCTGCCTCAGCATCAGCCTGCCTCAGCCTCAGCCTCAGCCTGCCTCAGCCTCAGCCTCAGCCTGCTTCAGCCTCAGCCTCAGTCTGCCTTCAGCCTCGGCCTCAGCCTCAGCCTGCCTCAGCCTCAGCCTGCATCAGCCTCAGCCTCAGCCTCAGCCTGCCTCAGCATCAGCCTGCCTCAGCCTCAGCCTCAGCCTGCCTCAGCCTCAGCCTCAGCCTGCTTCAGCCTCAGCCTCAGTCTGCCTTCAGCCTCGGCCTCAGCCTCAGCCTGCCTCAGCCTCAGCCTGCTTTCAGCCTCAGCATCAGCCTGCCTCAGCATTCAAAATGTGGCCCGGGAATGGAGATCTGGGAACTCGAAGAACACGAAGTGGCCTACAGTTGGCTCCGGGCATTCAAAATCATGGCCCGGGAATGGAATTCTGGGAACTCGAAGATCACGAAGTGGCCTACAGTTGGCTCCGGGCATTCAAAATGTGGCCCGGGAATGGAGTTCTGGGAACTCGAAGAGCACGAAGTGGCCTACAGTTGGCTCCGGGCATTCAAATGTGGCCCGGGAATGGAGTTCTGGGAACTCGAAGACCACGAAGTGGCCTACAGTTGGCTCGGGCATTCAGAATGCGGCCCGGGAATGGAGTTCTGGGACCTCCAAGACCACGAAGTGTGTGACTGTTTGCTTAAAACGAGCCCGGCCCTGAGCCCGGCCCTCGCTGTCCGGATGCCGCCCAGACCTCCCTTCTGAGTCATCAGATGCTCTCTTTTGACACCACTAGAAACCTATCAGTCTTCGCTGTTAGGTAAAAATCCTGACTGCTTTCGACTAAAACGGTACACCAGTCACTTGGTTCGGGTCCCTCAGGGGCGGCTTTTACATCTCGCTGGGGGTCGGGTCCACACATCTCCTCACATGATGTTTCACGGGCCCCTGTCTGTATGGTTCTGCAAGTCCTGCGGGTGTACTGGCCAGCATCATTTGAGAGGCCTCGCCCAGGAATGCAAACCCCCGACCAGGACGGGGAAGGAATGCCTTGATCGAATCCGCCGGTGCCGCAGAGGGTGGTCGCCTCCTCCCCCCCGCCCCTCCCCTCCGCGCTTTTCTTCGCGTGGGGAGCCCGGGGTGGGAGACGGTGCTGTGGGAGGGGGCCGCCCCCCTCGCGGCCACACGGATCCGCGGCTGAGGCGTTGTGGGGGGACCGGACGCGCCCATCCCACACCCCTTGGCGGACGGGAGCGCCGCGCTCCCCCGTGAAAGGTACCCCCTGGGGCAGCGGCGCCCCCGGCTCCCCAAGGCGCGGGAGCCGAAGGCCCAGGGGGCGGATGTTTTCCCGCGCCGGGGAGTCGCCCGGCCCCTCGGGGACCCCCCGGGAGCCGTCCGGAATAACATAGTCCGAAACATAGTCCAGAGCTCTCAGCAAGGCTGAGAGGGAGGCCACGTCCTGATTTTATTCCGACTCGCTTCGCGATAGTTCTGAATCTCTAACCCTCCTCCTCCTCCTCCCCCTCCTCCTCCTCCTCCTCCTCCTCCTCCTCCCTTCTCCATCCTCCGCCTCTTCTTCCGTCCTCTTTCTTTTCCCCTCTGCCCTCCGCCTCTTCGGGCCGCCATGGCCTGGCCCACCTCCCGAGTTTGAGGGCCCTCGTCCAGCTTCCGGGTGGGGACGTCCGTGCTCCTGCAGCCCACGAGGGCCGCGCGGCAACAGGCGCCGCTCCCCTGCCCGCGGGCTCGTGCGACCGTGCCCCCGTCGTGCCCTGGCGCTGGCAGCGCCCTGGGCTCAGACTACAGTCGGGGCGTTGACCTAAGGAACCCTGAATAAGGAACGAGGCCTCTATTTTCCATAAGTTAAACTTCGATTTCGTATCGAAAACCTAAGGAATATCTAAGGCAAGCTGCGAAACAATCAAGGAACACGGAGCCCCTCCCCAACGAAAAGGGTTCCTTCTTCAGGGCCCCGACTGTAGTGGTGTACCCCACGCGCGCGGGATCAGAACTCTCACTTTCTCCAAAGCTCTGGGTGCGCGCCCTTCGCATCCCTTGAGCTTCGCAGGGTGTCCCAGAGGTCCTCGTGGGGCCCTCGGTGTGAATACAGCATTGCTGTGGGGCACCGGCTGGCAGAGGCCGGCTCCTTACTTCGAGTGCCTGCTGTGTCGTCCCCAGATGCCCTTCGCCGAGAAAAGCCGAGGCCACCTGCTCCTGTAGAATGTTTGGACATCTGGGGCGGGCCCGTCCCAGGGCCCGAGAAAATCATAACAAAACCAGTCCAGGATGAAAATTGGTCTCGAAGACGGGGCCGAGAAGCCCAGAACCCGTGCTGTGAAAAACCATGGCGTAGGAGGTGCAGTCAACCCGTATCATAAGGACGCACGATGAGGATTCAAGGGCCTTGGAAGGCCATGTCGACACTTTGCGAGCGGGGCGCGGCCAGCGAAAGCGGCCAAGGATGGGCCGAAGGGGAAGGATGCAAGGGTAAGCTTGGAAAGCCGCTTGCTCTTACTATGCGGGTTGACTATATGAGCTGCCGTAGCTCAGGCCTGGGTGCGGAGAGTCGGGACTCGGTCGAAGGCTTCGGGGCCCGAGCTGTGTCGTGTGCGTGCGGTTGCGTCGCGCTCCTCCTCCTTCTCCTCCTCAGGGCCCCATGCCGCAGAGCAGATATATCCTGTGCCCACCTCCCCAGGGCCCAGCATCGACGTACTACTTGTCTAACCAGACACCCACCCGTTTTGCAGCTTGCGCAGCGCGGGTACGTAAATGATGGCCACACATGATTTTGAACAGGGCTGCAATGCGCCACAAGCAGTGCGGCGGCACTTGCCGCTGTTTCTGGGAAAGAGTGGACAACAGGACAATTCTGAATCCATAATCTCCCATCACCGTGCGGAGAAGCGACACGCAATCCAAAGAACGCGCGCACTCGCTGCCGCACTTCCGGCATCTTTTGGTGAGTGCCGTCTCCCGCTAAGCGCAAGCCGCATCAGAAGAGCCTTTTCTTTCTTCGTGCGGCGCAGGCAAGCAGTGCGAGCTGAGCAGTCCAGGCGAGCAGCGGGGAGAAGCAAAAGGAATTGAAGTACGGGGCAGAAGTATTTCAGCATTGGCAGGAATCTGCGCCAAGGCGTGGCGCCTATTCACAGTGCCTCAGTGCCTGGAATGTGAGCGGGGCGGTCATCGCTGGGTACTGGACCGTGCGGGCGGGCAGCGCAGAAGGACCGCTCCAGGATGGCCGGGAGGTTACCCGCCACCGGCGTGCAGTGCTGGAGGCAGAGGCGCGCGAAATTTTGAAAGGACGACTTCGAGAGGAACGATCTGCCATGAGGTGAGGGTGGAGGGAGAAAGAGGGGATGGTGGACGGGGAGAGTCAACACAGGGTAGGGGGAAGGAGTGCGGAAGGAGAAGGTAGGGGCATGGAGATGCTCGAAAGGAAGGGGCAAGAGAGCGGAGAGGAAGCTGATGTGAGGCTTGGATCCCCCGATCTGCCACCGATCTTGCGCACTGACATGCGGATGAAGCCGCGCAGCCGAAGCTGATCTACCTCCGACCCCGTTGGGGTCTCCAGGCGAGTGAGATCCTTCCACCCCTCCTGTAATCCTCCGCCGCCGCGTCCACGACAGCAGATGTAAGGGGGGGCTGGGCTCAGTAGGGGAGGGGTCGGATCTCAGTGAGGGGCCAAGCCTCAAGGTTTTTTTCTCTACAAATTCCTAGGGGTCCGCCAAGAACAATGTGCAAGGTAAACCCGACGAGGACCCAAAGAGGCCTTCAGATGCCACAATCGCGCCTCCAAGACCGCCCCGCACAAGGCCCCCGAACTGCAAGCCGTGGAATCCCTCGGCTGGGGATATTGTCGCTCTATGGTGCTGTGAGGGCATTGGATGAGGAACCATCAGATAAGGAATCCAGGGTCTGCAAGCTGGTGGAGCGCAAATCGTGGATTGGCCATGGATATCACCGCCGCCCTCATCAGATGAGGAATCTTCCAGGGTCTGGCGCCTCCAGGGACGATTCCTTCACAAACGCCTCCACCGTATAAGTGCGATGCCCTTCTCTCTCCTCAGGACTCGGGCGTTGGCAGAACTTGGTTTAATGGGACCTGGTTTAGTGATGTGTGCTGGGGGACACCCCCCCCCGCCCCGTTCCACTAACCGGAACTACCGTCACCCGAAAAAAACAACTACGGCAGCGCTGGTTTAGTGATTCTGGCCAATTTAGGGGCTCTGGGGCCCTACTACTAACCGTGTCCCCTTACCTGGGGTCCCGGCTATACCATATCCTCCTCCGCGGCCGCCCTCTTCTTGTCTCCCGCCTGCTTTGCGTGCGATGTCGTTTCACGGTGTCCCCGCTCCGTGGACGCGGTGCGCGCTCGCGCCACCGTTGCGACTAAGCATGTGAGTCATTTGCGATTGATGTTGAGACTCGCTCCTTTGCGTATCTCTCCCTAGATAAAGATATGTGTAAATATTCCCCTAGCAGTGCTTGCACTGAAGGGTTCTTACTCCTGCTCTGAGGCGCTGGGCCGTGTCTTCGGTCTGGCGGCTGTGCGGCAGCCGTCGCCGCCACGTCGCCGCTCGTTGTTTGGGCCGTGCCTTCGGTCTGGCGGCTGTGTGGCCGCCGTCGCCGCCCCGTCGCCCATAAGTCATCTCACTGATAGACCCGCGAAGCTGGCGAGAATGGCGCCATTGGCCGCGCCCAAGGAAGGCATGGTCTCGGTTGGGTCCCCGTATGACCGCACCCCGCCGGACCAGAGGGGGAATAATGGGGGGATAATGAGGAGGAGGAGGGGGGGGGG